AAAAAAATAATTCCAATGTGCATGTACATACTGTAGGGCAATCAACACCCCCACTCTGGGAAAAGAGACCTCTTAAAAAACAAAAAAGGCACTCTAAATGGTGGTCAGCCAGGTTGTTGAAGTGGATACCACGTATGAGCAAAAGGCTACGTGGAAGGGCATTTAGAACCCAGACCTGGAGGGACGTCTTTACACAAAGGGTGGTGGGAGTATGAAACAGACGCACGCCCCCAGCCATGATGTTAAAGCCCATACCCTGGCTTCTCTCAAGGAATGGCTGGATGGGACCCAGGGATCAATTTACTATTAGTAACCGAACAAGCTAGATGGGATGAAAGGCTGCTGTTGTTTGTAACCCATCTTACATTCCCGCATGTTGATTAAAACAGCCTCCTTCAAGGAGACGTGTAAATCCTTTCTGCCTGTGATGGAGAGACCCGAATTACAAAGAGTGGGGGGAAAAAAAGCAACAGATTTCTCATTACACATTTTGTTTTTACAGAATCGAATGCCATCCCTGCCTTGTAGCACCATGATCTGAAAACCCCAGCTCCAGAGTTAACCTGGGGAGCCGCCTTAAGACGCCGTTCGGCACTTGGATGTGAAACCTAACATCTTGCACAAGATGTGACGAGAGTTACGGTGACGGGGCGGTATCTGTGCGCGTGGTTCACGGGGACAAACGGGCGCCGAAAACAGCAGATGTGCAGAAAGCTGTTCCGCGCTGAATGGATTTTCACCTTGAAATGTGCCAAAAGGAGAGGGACAGGTCTCTTAATTATCTGCTGCAGTCGTGCCAGGCTTTTTCCTGAACGCTGCTCTGTCTTGATTTGTCCCACCGGTTCTGGAATCGCTGAGAGCTGGTGTGTGGGGAGTGTTCTGGCGCATCATCCAGGTGGGGCTGCACACTGGTGGCGGTAGTGGGATCCCCATTACCTGTAAAGTGCTTTGAGTGGAGTGTCCAGAAAAGCGCTATATAAGGGTAAGGAATTATTATTATTATTACTGGGAAAATGGATCTCACCCAGTCTGCCCAGCAGCATCTGCCCATTATCCTTGATGTCGTTGTACTCGTGAAGCAGGTCAATGTGTTTGTCCAGCTCCTCCACAGTCAGCCCCCTGGAGAGCAGCAGCACCAGAAAGAAACTGTGTGAGGAACAACAACAACAACAACAAAAAAACAGACCAGAAAGAGGAAGCTCTTCTGCCAGACCCCCCCAAAAAAGGAACTCAGAGTTAGTTCCCTTGGTCTACCAGTGTAACAGATTTAGAACAGTGAAATATCTGGTTGCTTCTCCCCAGACTGATCAAAAGCATCAATATCCCCCCCGTAAAATAGTGATCACAATATAAAAGTTATGTACAATATATTAAATGAGGTCTTACTAGTGCTTTGGAGTTTTAAAGTAACATCCCTCATTATAAAGACTACATTTGGGATATATACTGTATATATCAAATATATAGATTTTTCATTCTTGATCGCCATCAAATCCCGAAATTCTCCGTGCCTCAAATCCCGAACACAAGTCTGCTCACTCGGTCTGCAACTGAGCTATTTCGGAATCCAGCTCCTGTAGCCTCTTCTTCAGGCCCTCCACCTCCTCTTCCACGCTGGACTGGCCGGCTGCCGGACAGCGGGGAGTGGACCGACTCTGCAGCTGAGTCCAGAGAGACAGAGACAGATGCCCAACGCAGAATCACTTGGATGCCAAAGGAAATGAGCTACAGTACCAATGCTCTTATAGAGCTCAGTAATGCACTAAACCAGAGCTCTCCAGTCCTACACAGTCACATAAAATATTTAAAGTCCCCCTTAGTTTTCCACTTAAGCGTTCTCTGACTTTAGGGTGTTGACCTTTAATAGACCAGCCAAATGCACTGAAGTCGATAGAGTGGTTAAGCAGAAAGGTATCCATGTGTTATACAGGAGGTATTTAGTATATAAGCCTTTAAGATGATATAACATAAAATAAAGGATTTTGCCCAATTCTTAAGGAAGTATGGACTGTAAACTTAATTTAAATAACATGCAAGGATTCAAAATCAGGAAAACAAAAATCACATTTTCAGTCTTATCAGTATACAACAATTCAAAATCCACAGCAGATATTATCCTTTGACAAAGTAAAAGATGAATGAGGAGGGGATTTAAGCTTTTAGATTTTTAATTTTAGTAACCCTAATTGGTCAGGATTCAAGGAAGGAGTTTCCTCAGGGGTTGGTGAAACAGCATTCCTCCTTCACCCACATGTGTTATTTAGGAAACGGTATCGTAGAAAGCTATTTAAAAAGCTGGATTACAGTCTGCCACTAAATTACTGACTTGAAACTTCACATCTCTCCCTGACTCTCACGTTTGAACTAAGAAACATCGCCGACTAGTTGACAGGAGCGGACATTGCAGTTAACAAAAAAGGACAATGCAGTTAGATCGTGTAACTGTAAAAACGTTTTCTTTAAGAAATCGCCAATAAAGGAGAATTACTTACAGGCGATTTAAAAGCCGAGTTCAGCCTCTCTGATGCTGCAAAGGGTGTCCTAAACAAAGTTTAACAAATATTACAGACCAGATTTTATTCCTATTCAGATCGTCATGCAATTAAAACACATTTGCATGTTCAGGACTGTATACTAGATTCTGAAAGTAAAGTAGTACCTTCTTAGGAAAAACAATGGCTATAAAATGTTT